TATAACTTGTTGCTGTTCTGTTTTAACTTTTCCCTATTCTTTTAATTTAAACGGCATCGCTTATTAAGCTGCATAGAAGGATGCTAGTATGTGTCTGTACCAGTGTCTGGGTGTGCTGTGGTGGTGGGGGCTGTCTGGTTTGGCACAAGGAGGTTGTTTGGCCCCCACAGAGCTCCAACAATATGGGCAGATTTGGTTGGACAAAAGATCCGGAGCTTTGAGTTGCTGAGCACGTCTCTGGCACAGGGGCACCCATGTACTGGGGATGCTGGGATGTTCGACTGGGAGATGCTGAAGCAGAGCTGCAACAGTTTAAACGTGGAACGTGTACAACAGGTAGCAGTAGGTTCAAATTAAGGTTCTGACTCATGATAGTGAGAATGGATTCATGGTGATACATGGAAGCTGAAAAGTGAAATCGGAGCATATGTTTGAGGATAAAACATGGTGGGTTTCCAAGATGATGTCATGCTTCTTTGTTTGAGCCTCTGAGATGTTTACCTCAATTGGTTGGCTGATTCTGTGGAAGGATTTCTTTAAAGTGCTTCAATTATTGCTTGTATTTATTTAGGGAATGTATTAAGAAACAAAGCCATTATAATATAATTTTCAGACACAATTTTTTATTTGGAATTTTTTCTGGAAGAGTTAAGACAGATTACACTGAGCTAGTTTGTATTTTCATTCATCACCTGCAGAACCTTGGAGAAGATTTCAATGTTTCTTGATGCAACTTAAGCTACAATTTTAAAATCCTGCTGCAAAGGGAGAAGCGTTTATTGATAAAGCTAATTCATCAGAAGTGGGCAAACATGTGAACAAAGGCAGCCCCATGATCAGTTCTGACCAAGCTGAATGGTACTGCTTCAGAAGACAAGAAAGGTTTTAGATTGAATGTTTAAAGATGAATCATTTTTGAGATTTAAAAAAATCTGATGATGGCAACCAAAAAAAACATGGAGGAAACAAAGCCTCATGTTTTCGGCTGCTGTGTTGAGGGTTGAAATGTCGGCCTGTTTGTATTTATCCACAGTAATTAGAAAAAGAAATGACCTAGATACTGATCTGGGATGTTTTACAGTAAAACCTTAAATATTTGTATTTATTTTGTGATTACTCATCAAAATAACACACTAAACCTACATAATATTACATGGAAATTGGAAATATAATTATATGAATTTAGCTTACAATCAAACAAACACAGAAGCCTAACATGTAAACAAAGCTGTCGTCTTTCCCAATTTAGAAAGATTTCTGCCTTTTTATTGCCGTCGTTTCATGCCCACCTTCACTTTTCGGTTTGTTTTTCCTCCTTCTGCTCTACGTCCTTTAAATGACAGTCAGCAGCAGAGCTGGCTCGCTAAGCAGGTTTTTAGGTTTGCTGTAGACCGTGTGGGTTGGAAATGTATCCGTCTGCTTGTTCTACGCACAAAATCAGAGCTCCAAATATCAGCAAAACAAACACTTGTAGAAAAAGAAACAAAAATGGATGCAAAACATTAGATCTAAAAAAGGATAGGTTCAAATTCTATTGCCAAATCTCTTGTACTTGGATTATATATACATAAATATATGTGTGTGTGGAGTATAGCATATTTTATGCGCCATTGCATAGTAACATATTGACCCTAATTAAAGTATTATCTTTCAGATGAAAGCAGCCTTTGCTGTGTTACACATTCCTTCATATTAGACAGCGTCACTCATGTAAATACTGTTGGTTTTGCAGCTTGCTGAGAGTAAAGCATTCATATTTTTTACCAGGTCCATCTTGATTGTCTGTTCAGTGTTGTGCTGCCAGAAATGCTGTCATAGAAGTGCTCTGCAGTTGCAACAAATCTGCTAAATATATTCTTAGCGATTTATTAGGAAGCAGAGTGGTTCTTAACAGAAAGCATTTCAACACACATCCTGATCCAAGAAGCTCTTCCTCTGTGTTATTTAGATTTTTACTTTAACTAAAGTATTGATGCAAGGGTTATTTTTGGTTATCCTTTTACTATTTTACCTGTAATAAATCTAATAGAAATTAGACTTTTTTCCCCCCTTTTCAATTACATTTGAACATCTAGACTGTTTAAAATATCTTAATATTTTGTTTTTCAAATATGTTTTGAGTAACTTTGAAATTTCGGAAATTTCTTTAAGTGCAAAATAATAAAATATACAATTTATTTTGTTGTTTTTGTATTAAAATTCCAGTGAATTTCAAGCCAGAACTTGTAATGTTTTTGTGTCTCTGTAGAGATAAAAGAGACAAACACCCCCAGAAGAATAATCAGACCAATACAGGAACTAAAAAGGCCTATTTTTTATTTATTTTTTTGGTAACTATGACCTTCTAGGCTAAAAAACAAATTAGATTCTGCTCACATAACATGTAGTGTGTAAGTTTAATATGTTGCTTCTTATAATGATTGCATGTGAATGTTAAACAGAGGCAGCCTGAGATTATGTGGGGCCCTGAGAGGAAATTGGTTCGGGCCCCAAACAAAGCTCAACTTTCTATTAAAAAGATAACAGTGAAATTAAATTGGGTAACATTTTATTTGTTGGACTTATTGATTTGTTAAGACAGTTCTGTCAAGAGTATAAATGTGGGGTTGTAAAGGTTTACATTTGTTTTTGTTTTTTTGTTGTTTCATTTTCGATTTTGGGCTAGGACAACTAATCTGGATAATCATGAATAGTCAATCAATGAAATAACTTGCAGCTAATTTGGTTACCATATAATGATTACCTAGTGTAATGGTACACAGACTCCAAAAAAACCCTTAAAAAAAAAGCCTTTTCCGTTTAAGATAAAAAAAAATCTTAATGTGTGTATTCACACGTATAAAAAATAAATGTGTAATAACGTTTTTTATTAATCCGCTGAAAATATCTCTATTTAGGTTGATGGTTTGATTGAAAAAATAAAAGATAGATTATTCAATTACTAAAATATTTGCTAGCTGCTGCCTTATTTAGATTTAATATGCGGAGCAATTCCAACAAAGACACAAAAGGCAAAAAAGATTAAACTAGAAGCATTTACTCTCAATTTAAACTCTATCATTCTTTGTGTATTTATTCACTAACAACATTCAGTTATCTATGGATCGATTTTATTTTTCAACAAGAATATTTTTGAAATTTCGTGAAATTTTCTATTCCTTAAACCTTTGGTATTTTACATTTGTTCATTTCTAGTAAAGTCATTGAGAAATTAAAAGTTTTGATATTAACACATCAGTGGGCGAGAGTGGTCTTGGGTGCCCCCTTTTGGCCTGGAGGTCAAACAGCTCTGAATCTAATGTCAAAGATTAATTTTTTTTAAATTTACTAAATTGAAAAATATGATGTCAGATTATTCAAGCATTTGATTCTTTTTCAATTAAATTCAGTTTACTTCTATAATTCACAACACTTTCCAGTTCACCAGATCATCCAGTCAAATTGATTCAAAGTTTTCTATCTGAGGAAAACCAGTTGATTGCCTCAAGTCATTGACTCGAATGCAATCCTTTTTATCTTATAAATATTTATATTTTATGTTGATAAAATACCAAAGAAGTTTAAAGTTAATATTATGCTCTTTATGCTTAACTCTGCAGACTAGAACTCAGAAACAGACTTAAAAGTTGGCCTTTAGGGCAGCTTCCATTTTGCAATATAAAACTGTTAATCCTGTACTTCAAATCAGTTAACATCCAATAAATCTTTATTGTAGAAACCCAGAAGAAGAGCATTAGAGATACGGGCCTTTGCAGAGTTAACAGCATTGGAAGAGAGGGGGGGTGGGTGCCATGCCCTGCAGGAATGGCCTGATGGGTGCTAATGAACTTGGGATGTGCCACCACAATAGGGAGCGGCCCCTGGTGCACCTCCGTGCCCGGGTTCCCATGCAGCCCGTGGAAGAGGGTTGATGACGGGAGGAGAAATGATGAGGAGCGAGGAGGGGAGGGGTCGCCTGGATGGTGCACAGCCCATTGTGCCCCCCTCCTTAGCCCATTAGCCAGCATCTACCCCGCTTTCCCAAGGGGAGCTCAGGAGCTGCCCGCCCGCTCCAGCTCTGTAACCAGGCATCAGCGAGGGGCGAGAGGTGGGGAGCGCAGAAACAGTAGCCGTATTTAGAGTTTGATCTCCAGGAAAGCGTCCAAAATTTGAAGAGAAAGAAAAGTGGAGAAAAAGGGACCCCCCCCCCCCCCCCCCCCATAACAAACCCAAGGCTGACAAAGTTGTCTCTTTGGCAGTCGCGCCTCCTATTAAAGCAGGAATTTATTCAAAGGAGATTTTTATACCCGCGATCTGATTATTATGATAATCAAGTGACCCAGACCCCCTTTCTTGGCTCTTGTCTGCGGACCCCGGGCCCGGCGGTGACAGTAAAAGCTGATTTGCACGGTCTTCACCCCCTTGGTCACATTCCTGGACTCCTACGTATTAAAGACGCGGACAAAAAGGACGCTGGATGTGCGCACTTATCCAGGCGCAGGAAGCCGCAGGCCGGAGCCTCTGACGGGGGGGCTTTGTGTCAAACGAATACTGGTAACCATACAAGATTACACGAAAGTTTTTTATAATCCCACATGGTCCAAAACAAGGCTCTAAATCACAGGCTGGATGGGCTGAGAAGAAGTCCCAAATAGGCTCACAATAAGGCGGCAGGGATGGTCAACTGAGCGGCTTAATGCGGAATTATGGGAATTAATTAATATTCAAGCCCTGATATTTAAACTTTTATATTTAAAAATCTGAATAATTCACGATTATCTTGTTTTATTCTGCAAAGCGGCTCCAAATGAGAAAAAAAGGCTATTTTTATTTAACAATTAGTCTAAATGATTCTTTTTACTTTAGATGCTTATTCACGCTTGCATTCATTTTTTTCAGAGGGTGGAGACAAGAAAAAAAATGCATGGTGTCCTAAAGGGGAGGGCCCTCCGTCTGTGCTGCTATATGTTTTTCAGAGCTGGAATCTTTAAAGTGCATAACGCATCTGACGATCTTGGCGATTGCGCGGCGCGCTGCGAACATGGAGAGGGGGCGGGAGGGAGGGGAGTTCAAGGCGAGATCCACCTCCGACATGAAATAATAGGGACGACAATAAAACAGGGGGGAAAACCCGTTGGAGAGAAGCTGAATGGATGGAGCCGGAGAGACGTCACTGGCAGCCGCAGCCATGAAGACCGTGCGGTCCAGCCTCCGGAGAATCACTTCGCCTCCATCCTCCGAGACGCTCGCCGCTCGATCTGGGAGAGGAGCGCATCCCGCGACGATCCGCGATCAGCGACGTGAGTATGAATTAAAATCTCAGATTTCTTAAAGGTGGAAAGATCTGCAGGATATCCGTTAAAATGAAGGAGTAGAGCGCGTTTGCATCAGCGCAGCGTTTACGTGGCCATGGTCCTCCTCACAGCATGCATCTCCACACTGGATGTAACATCAGACGAATATAAGCGCAGATCACCGGATTTAAATACATCTGTTTTGTTTTCTTTCATCTCCTAAACTCTGATTGATGAAATTTAAGAAGTGATGATAAATAGGATCAGAGAGCCGCAGCCAGTTGCAAGTTGGCAACATATTTCTTTGTCCATATGATGCTCTATATTCAATCTGCAAAGGTTTAGGGTTTAGGACACAAATTCATAATTTAATAGCAAATGAAATGTGGCACATGAGCTCTAAAAAGTCAGCTTAGCGCACAGAAATGCCTCAAGGGTTAGGAGAAAAGGATGACATACCGGTATAATAACTTCTTTGTATTGTAACTTATTTTCTTTCCACAGCCTTTTGCACAAAAAATGTCTGCGCCAACATGCAGTTGCAGCTGTGATTTGGTTTCTCAGACATTTAAAAGCTTAACAGGGTCACTTCAGTAAAAAATAAAAAAGCTTTTCCAATCAAATTGAACCCAATAAACGCAGCAGACTTTCAAATTTTTCGCAAAAAGGTCAACAATATGGTATCTTTCTTTTTACACCAAGCCCTGCGTGGACACTGTGCGTCCATGTGGCACAGATGTGAGGATTTATCAGCAGAAAGACCTGCAGTGCATGCGTAATAAGACAAAGTGGCGGCGTTCATGTTCATAGTTGGTGGATAAAGAACTCACAAGGCCAAATATTCAGAGGACACGTGTGCTCCGAGGACAGGCCTGTGCTGAGGACACGTGTGCGCGCCAGGTCTCTGAACCCTGAACGCTTAATCAAAGAAGAATCAGAAGGAAACGTTTTCAGCATAGCTGCAATTATAAATGCACAGGAGAGGAGATAAACCTGGCAGCAAAACGAGGCAGTTAATAAAAATACTAAAATCCAAATTTATTTTGATAATAAAGTGAAGATTTTAGAAGAAGCACATGCACTGTTAAAAATATCATCATACACACAAACAAAATTTCGCCGGATGTAAGAAATCTGGTGTTGCACCTCCTACTGTGCACCATAGAGAACCCCACGGCAGCGTCTTTAATGAGCTGCATTAATAAACGAGTAGTGATTTGTTTTAAAGGTCCAGCTTTGAGATTTTAGACCAAACGACATAATATAACAGTATCTGCAAAAAAAAAAAAATAAATAAATAAAAATTAAATATTTTTTTTATAAGCTAAGCCTTTTGGTCCAAAGCCATTCTACAGCTTACATGTTTCATAATAATCAGATTATCATTTTACCTTCATCACCTACATTCTGCTACTGGCAGGATGTTTTCTCAAGTCTTGCTGAATTAAAAGGAGGAAATAATGGCCATGGTGTGTAATTTTAGATATAGTAAGTTTATCATAAGCTTCAGTTTAAAATGAGTCAGTTTTACACTTATTAAAATGTTTCATTGTAAAAAAAAGTGTTCAGATTCTCTGGTAGAAATATAATTAATTATGCTTGATAAAGCAGAAATAAAAAAAGGCAGACTTATTTCTTTCCATCAAATGTATTTTATTTTATTTTAGACACACGGGTCACTTTCACACACTCCTAAAGTTTAGTGCATATAAATTAAAAGTGTGCGTCAACAGATTGTTTCCTTAACTCAGCTTCTATTCTGCCTTTATTTCTGTTTAACTATGGATGCATCTCGTGCATAAAATGATTTATAACGAGAGTAAAACCTTAACTGTAATTGCAGCACACACTCTGAGAATTTAGCTCTGCATAATTCAGAATAAATCGCTTGGCTTTAAGCAGATGATAACCAAGGAGGCTTCATAATAGGAACTCATTTCCCGCTAATCAGCTTCCCACTTTGTATGTTTGCATTTTCCCCAATTAGATGAGCCGAATTTGGTGATGTCACACACGTCCTGGCCAATGGCAATGCTTGATGAGGTTTGTTTAAACGATAGAAAGCAGGAAGCTTTGCCTCCATTGATGCCTTCATTTAGTACATAAATAGCGTAATAATTAAATATAGTTAGTTAGAATTATAAAATATTTTAATTAGCACACTTTATTCCACCATTTACAAAATATGTTCGATTTTGCAAAAATAAAAAAATTAAATAAATAAACCCATTAAATTGTATGAAACCCTTCAGAAATTGTATATATATGTATGAGATGGGGATTCAAAACTAATAAAATTAATTTAAAATTTCACAAAATTTCTTCACATATTAAATATAGTTTTAAACTACTAAAAATGATATAATTATCAAAACAAAAAATGATGGTAATTTGGGTAGATGATTTTAAATCATCTATAAATATTGTAACATTTAGAAATTTTAATTGTGCTTCTTGGAAACCTTAAATCATTGCAAAATCTGTGAAGGTTTTTTGCAGTAGAGCTGTATGTGTGTGTTTATTTGTGAGTGCAGCGTGATTGGATGTACTGTATTTCTGAACGACATACGTGTGGCTCAGTGTGGCTGTCTAATTCTGTGTAATTATGAGCTAAACATGTGAAAGTGCTCATCGTGTGTGCACGTCTGTAAATGTGTGTGTGTCATCAAGCTGCATTCAGTGACGTAAGACATAATTTTACTTGTACAAACACCTTGCTCTCTCCTTTTGCATGGAAATAAAGCACCTAAAAAGAAAATATGTCTCACCAAAAGGCAAGAAATAAAAAATTGTTAAAAAAGGCCATGTGCATTTAGACGGCAGCAGAACAAAAGCTGTGGTAGGAAAACTGCAGAAAAATGGAATGGGCACGTAGGCATGTGTGATAATTACTCCTATTGACAGCCAGGTTTTAAATCTTGGGGTTTGTTTAATTGTTGGAAAGAATCATTTGTCCCTCACACTCCTCTCTCTTCTATATGTCCATCTCTTTCTCCTCTCATGTAGACAGAGTGCTCTAGTTGGAGGTGCCGTTTTGTGGGGAGGAGCCTGCAACGGCAGAGATCCGGGCACACAGAGCAGCTTTAATTAGATGGGGCCTCGTGCCATGTGCCATGTGCCATCACGGCATGTGTGAAAATGAATGTGTGCCTGTGTGTTTTGTAGCTTTGTCTAGATGTGCTGATTTTTTATTTTATTTTTTTTTTGGCGTGTATGTGTCTGTTTAGCATTTACGTTCTAAAGAACATTTCTCTGCTAATGTTTGCTTTCTAAATACAAAGCAAACAGCATGTTTCTCTATTCTACATGAGCTGTTGTGATGGCGCCTATGCACCTTAAGCCTTAACGTCCTCCCCTAGGCACCATCCTCGTGCATTGGCCAACTGGTGGTTTGGCATCAGATAATGTAAATGAAGACAAACCAGTTTCTTTTGTAGTAAAACAGCCAGGATCTTCTTTTAATTTAAAAATGCATTTCAGTCATTGCGGGGGGCGGCGTTTGAAGCCATCACTCTCCCATAGAGCCACTCAGTGGGCACTGCAGATTGACTGTAGGGATGGGCGCCAGACTGGAGAAAGGAAAAGTTGCTCCATTGCCAAAATGAACTGGTTCAACAACTGGTGCAACTGTTTTTGAATTGGTGCTCTTGCTGATTGTTTGATGTAAAGCCTTTTTGATTGACCCAAAAGCCAATCAAAGGGATCGGGGGACAAAAGGAGGTTTCCAATTGGTTGGGATGGTTTAAGGCGGGATAGAGAGAACATGGTGACATCATAAAACGAGAGGTCAGAACATTAAAAAGAGGCTGACGACCAAAAGATAGTCAGAAGACTTCAAGGCAGCAGACTAACAGTTCTGTTTTACATAGTTATAAATTGTTGATGTATGGAATAATTTTTACTTACGTTTAAGTCAGTTTGTTATTATAGAAATAATCTTTTTAAGAATTAGTTTTATTTTATTTTTTTTACTAACAGTCTTCCTGTCTGTCTTTAGGTCAGAAATTGGCCGATGTTTCTTGGCCTGGGGTTTAAGAGGATGGGTAGCCTTAGGGGTTGATTGTTATCTTTGGTTATCTAGCTGTATGAGTGATGTACATTCTTCATAAAGCTAGATAACCGAAAGTAACAAGAATCCCATTACACTCCTGGAAAGGCATCAAGACCCAAAGTGACTCCGCTCTGCGAAAACAAAAAAAGATAAACAAGAAGAAACCTAACTTGATAAAAAAAAGGACATTTTTTTTTCTTAAAGGAGACGGAATCGTTCATCAAATAAAGGTAAGAATCAAGAAGTTCTTTTGTTCTACATCATGTTTGAAGCGATGATATTATTTTGTCTAATGATGGATTTATTGTTACATTTTCCATGAGTTATGCCTTCGTAAACTAAAATAAGCAAGATATATATTGCATGTTATAGTCTTTACGTTTCTCTGTTTGCAGTGATTTACACAAGTAAGGTTGGTACAACAGAATCACTTGTAATCTAATAAGACCCATGATCCTTGTGTGCTGGGCTGTATGCAGGGGTTTAGCCTCGGTATCACATGGCTTTAGAGTAAAAGACCAACAAAGATTTACCAAAGCCAGAACACTCCAAAAATCACCTGTTTCTTTTTCCTTTCCTTTTTTTTTTTGTCTGTTCATTTGGCCCCATGAACTTTCAACTTTATTGTTTTCTTCTTTGGTACAAAGTGACCCTTTAAAATTGTTACCCTTTAATATCTTTGGAGCTACATATGGTGCTATGAATTATACATATGGTCCAACATGGATGCGATAGTGTGACTTAAGAATGCTCCCTCCGAGGTAATCTGGCATCCCAACGAAGAAAGACAAGAATTTGTTTGAAGCCCGATTTGTTAAGTTATCCGTTGTCGATTTGTTTTTCCCCCTTTCACAGTTTTGCTTGAAAAGATATTTGAGTTAGGGTCCTGACTGTTTGATTGGATGTGACAGTTGGCTCATTTTTGAAAGGACGTCTATTCCATGAGGTGCTACCATGTGGAAAAGCTTGATAGGATGCCAGTGTGAATGTGTGTGTGTAAAACTCACAAGGGGAGTGGTCCAGGGTCAATCAAGCAGAGAGAACCCCCAGTAACGAAATCCACGAGTGAGTGAAGGAGAACAATCTCAGCCTGAAGTTTCTTCGCTTGGGCTCGTGGGGAGGAGTAATTGGTCAATCAGATCCTCGACCTCAAGGCTTCTGATGGCTGATTGAAGGTGTGATTTCTGTTCTGTCCGTCAAAGCCAAAGGGTCATGCCTGCTGAAAAAGGTTGCTAAGAGCCATTTTCAAGGTCTCTGTGCTGGTTTTCTAAGTGAACTCAAACGATAAAAACATTTAACTTGGGGCTTTGCTGTTGCAACAATGCAAAGCTGAAATCTTCCAATGGGTTTGGATACAGTCAGCTTGCTATGGTATAAGTTAGGTTAAAAAAACCCAAATACTTCTGAGGCAGCCTTGCCTTGCAACGTCAATCACCTTGAACCCAAGAGTTATGTTTGCCGTCCTGCTGCATTGCAGGTGCTGAGAGTGACATTTGAGCTCTCTGCTCAGCTGCTTGGGTGGAGGAACAAGGTTCTGTAAAGAAAGTGACAAACAGAAACAACACATTGTTGTACACAAAGGTTGTGCCTCGTTTTTTTTTTCTTGGTCGTACTTTTGAAGCAACATTTTTATTAGATTTCCTAGGATTTAATGGCTTTGTTCTACTGAATGAAAGGATAAGTACAGAAATGTAAAGATTTTACCTGGTTTCAAGCCCCAACTTGTGTACTTTTTATAATAGATTGATCACAAAATAGTTAAAAGCTACACTTAGTCTTTACAAAGTGGATTTATTTTCCTTTGCTTCCTCTTTGTGTCAGTCGGAGTGTTGGGCTTAATGGAGACTGAACTCTTGGACAGATCTTGGTTATGCCCTGAGCAGTGCTATGGGAGACACATGTCATGGTGCAAAAGCTTTGTTCTTGGCTTTGTGTGTGGCACAGTTATATCACTAACACTTCACACTGGGACCACAGAGAACAGACTATCTTTGCTTCTGCTTCTCTGAAAATTCTACAGAGAAGGGAGAGTTCCTAAAAAAAAAAACACCTTAGGGCATTCGCTTTCTCTTTTCTGTGTCCCTTGGCATTGTCTGCACCCTGCCAAATCAGAAAACGAAGCATAGAGAAATGATGGAGGGTGAAAAAAAAAGTCAGTGAGCGGAAAAAGGAGGAGGGTGATGGGTTTGTCTTAGCCTTCATGCACTAGGCAAGCAGATTTAGACTCTAAGTGTCAAATAGAAAAACAGCCATTGTGATCTGGTCCCGCTCACCCCCATGCCACTAGACTTTACAGTCAATAGAGCTAGTCCACTTGTCACCAGGGACAATGCACCCCTTTTCCTCCTTTTCAGCCCTGCCGGGTCCGAGCAGCCAGACAGTTTTCTGAATACAACCCAGTGATTCTTGCCCCCTTTTCTCTGCCTCCCTTTCTCTTGATGGAACACACCAACAGAGCTTTGAAAATGGCTTCACTGTTGGGCCAGAGGGCAAAGCCAGACCTTGTTGTTTTCCTCAACATTGGCAGTCCCTCCACCCCTCTATGCTCACACAGAATTGAATGTATCTTAGGCAGTTGCAAAGTCAAAGGGCCTCAGCAGACAAAGGAGATTAAGTTTGGCAACTTGGCAGTAACAGGTGTACTTTCACTGTGCTTGGACCACACGGGGGGGATTGCTGTTGTCTGACCCGTTGCTCTGTTGGCCTACCCGTTTGGACACAGATAAAGGCATATTTCTTCACAGTGTTTTCACATCTGATTAAGAATCCAGAACGTCTTGAGTAAGGAGTAACAGCATAATGCTCTTTTATGGTAACTACCGCATAGTCGAGCCTTGGTATGCTACTACATACAGCCCAGTTTTGCAGTATATCTAATGGTATTTGCAAACTAATGGTGGAATTGATGCAACTACAATTCCACCATTTTAGGAACTGGACTACCTTTATGAGAGAGCCAGTGAAGCCCTTCCTGTCAACACTTTCAGTATATTCAATGAAAATAAATCAAGGCATTCAACAACACTACAAATACACTTTCAGAGCCAGAGGAAAACAGTGCCGGCGTTTGTTTGTTTCAGTCATTAATAAAGCTTTTACTGAGAACCTCAGTCCCCTGTAAAGCCCATTCTGCTGAAATGACTTGGCAAAGCATCCGATAGAGGGTCTGTTCAGACTGGAGCTGCTCTGGTTACCATTGTCTAGCTCTCTCGCGCACACCTACGTGGCCAGAGTAAGCACACAATTTCATTGTTGTGTGAGCTGTTAATATCACCGGCTTTACAATAGAGCCCATTCGCTGTATTTGCATAAGGCACTTTTCCAACAAGGACCCAGAGAGGGCTTGAAAGCTGGCCCACTCCAGTGCCAGTGGCAAAAAAATGTCAAGTGCCAATTAGGAGAGGTTTGCCATCATTCACCAGTACCCCACCCCTGTAGTCCTTTCCCTTCCAGCTTACCACCCTCAACTCTCTCACACTCTAAGTCGCCCCTGTTTCACCACCTCATTCTAGTTTCAGATGTAGCTCTCCTCCTGTGACACCAAAAGAAAAGAGCTTGCTCCCTCTTCCGTTGGCTAATGGAAGAGTCTTTCTACTGGTCTTAGATTATTAGGGAAATGTGTTTCCTTTCTCTAGTTAGTAGGCTTTTTGTGTTGATTATTCTGTAAAATGGGGGTCCATGAACTTTAAAGCTAAACCTGTGAGGTATAGTATCCTCATGTGTGTGAAGTTTGACCCTAGAAAGCTGATTTAATTGTGCCAGCAGGACCTTTCGATTCTCAAGCTTGCATGTGCAGGTGTGGGTTATAGAAGACTGTGGCAAAGACAGATGCTGATTCAAAACAATTAAAAATGAAACCCTTTCATCTGATAGCCACATGTGCTGTTATGGTGGTGCTAATAATGTTTAGATAGCTAATGGCTTGCTTTAAGCTTCTCATGCATATTATTTTGCAGCATGCAGACATAAATGCAGCACATCTTATTATAGGAAATGGTATTGCCAGACCATTAAAACTGAGAGTGCAGTCGTAGAGTTAGCTTAGAAGGCTACGTTAGCTTAACTTGATGCTGTTAGTGGTATTAAAGAGCAGTTTATAATTTTACAAATGTTGATTATGTAGAAGTATTTCTAGCTGTGCTTGAGTTAGTTTGTCAATTGCATGTGTTGACGTTCATTCCGAATGTCATCTGTGCTCTTGAATTGCAGCGACAGTGTTTTCCGTGCGGGAAGACCTCCTTTGTAGTGGTGATGCTAAAGTAAGAATGAAATAATAAAATGTATCAGGCACAATTAAAGCTGCTTATTGTGTTGAGAAACAGTTGTTTTCCATTCAATGTTTACCTAATGCAAAGCCTCCTGCCACTCCGATGAATATTTCTCTTGTCCTTTTTCCTCTTTCTTGCTTTCTTTCATTCAGTCTCTGTGTCGAGTTTTTTTTTTCTTTCCCACCCATGATTCTCAGATGGTTGGATCTGATTTGCATGCATTTGCATAATGAAAGTCATTTGCATGCTCAGGGGCAGACTGTACCATGAGAACAGACATGAAAAGGTGTGTGTGTGTGGGTGTGTGTGCTGGTGCAACTGTGTTTACATGCATGTGTTTGTATTTGCAACTTGGTGCGTATGCTTTTCTAAAACTGTCCATAATTGTTTTGATGGCTTAACTACATTGTTAACATTTACCTGTAACATGCTGTCTGCCTGTTCTCGTCGTAGGGTACCTTTCCACGTAGAGAAAAGATGGCAAGGGAAGACTGAAAACAGAAGAGGAGGAGGGGTTGCTGTTGATTGTGCCCTCCCTCTCTCATCGCCCTCTTCTGCATCGCCTCTTCCCACCTCCTCCTCTTCTCTTTCTCCTCCACTCCATCCTCAGCAGACTGCCCCTTTTTCCTGTACAGCGAAATGCAGCCCACGCCACCATCTTAGAGCAACGCTGGCATAAAATGGAAGTGGGAAGACCAGTCACTGCAGGTAACAAACCAAGCCCCCTGTGCCCGCTGTTGTGTGTTTTCTTGCCATCACCACCCCGACTCTTTATTCAATCATTTTCCGTCATTAAGTACCCCTGGGCTCGTTTGACACTACAAATTTTCACCGATATGTTCGTTAAGGATCCTCGTGAATCACTGATTCTAGGGTAGCGAGAGTGATCTTATCTGGGTGGAGCATGTTTGTATGTGTGCTATAGAACTATGTTCTCAATTCATCTCTCGGGAGGTTCGGGGATTGTCATGCCATCTTTAAGTCTAAACACTAACATGGTGTAAGATACCAATTTCGAAAGACAACATAACCGAGGGTGCAGTCCTTTTAGTGGAGCGGGTTAGGATTTGTAAAATATGTCTTAATTACTGGCCTAAATCATTAATTTGTAGCTTCTAACCTTTAGGGCAAGTTAACCTTTATTCTATCCACCTTAAATAAGTGCAGAAACGATCTGAATGAGGGCTTATGAAAGATGTGAATATCAATGAGTAAAAATTTATGTTTAATAAAAACAAAGTTGGAAGATATTAGAGGATGAAAAAAAAAGATGAGATGAAAAACCCCCAGATTTTTGGCAGAACAGAAAACTTGAAAAACTCTTTAATGGAAAAAAGTAACCAGTACTTGAGTCCTATGATGGCTCAAACAAGTTGTACATTGTTTTCCATGCGCAGAATTTTATTTTTTTTGGTAATGCAACTCAACTTTAAATAAAGCTTATGAGCTGGACTCTTCTGAGTAATGTAGATATTTAACAATGTCCATCTTTGTCACGGTTGTGGAGAAACTTGCCTTTTTCTTTGCATCTATAATGTGGAGATCAGGTTAGGGATTATTGGTGCTAATCTTGCGTCAAAATGATCTACATCGCTTTGACAGTAAGAGTGGGACTGAATCAAGCTGAAGAGGAAAAGACAGCACCTACTAACACATTTTGCAAACTTCCTTGACTCAGTTTTCTAAATGTTAGACCAAATATTTGATGAAAGCAACTCTCAAATGAGGTCATGAGGCTTTTTGGATTAGAATTTTTGACGAGGCAGCTTCTCTAGGGTTGCTTGGCTTTGCTGATAAGTTCGGTGGTAACTGTGTCAAACCGAGTGCACTAATCACTGCCTCCATAAACAGGTGGTAGATTGAGCAAAAGGGGCAGGGGCACTTCTCAATTTACTGTGTAAATTATGCAGAGCCCAAAACAATGCAAACAGTAGACAGTGGAGTGGCTGGCGTTGGCTAATGAGATGATGAGAAGCCTGGGAGGCCCGTGAGTTGATTGAGGAGAGGGGGTGGGCACAGCCAGCAGCTTGTGTCTGGATCCTTGTTGGTGTGTGTGTGTGAGAGAGAGGGTCTAGGGCAGCTTTGGCAGGGTGCAGACAGTATTCTGTCTGCATCAACCCCACCGTCAACCCCTCCTGCCCAGACTGAGTGCTATAGAAGGAGGGGAGGGTTTGCAGGCAGCTGGGGCACCCAACCCCCATTGCTTCAGCAATAGCACCAGCTTTGGGAAACTCTGTGTCAGGGGTCTCCCGAACACTGGCACGTAGAGGCCCCTGAAAAGTCTGGCTATAACACCACCCCCTCCCATCACCACCATCCTCTCCTTCCTCTTGTCTCCTCAAACATCACCACCCCTTCCATCCTAATGTGAGGCTGGGGGCCTGGGAAGGACTTCAAGTTCATGGCCAGACCTCCTATTGAGCTGACAGCCCGACTGTTTGCTCAATTCGGCTCCCTATTCAGAGTCATGCTGGAAGGGGGGCTGTAGAGAAAGGCAAGAGGATGCAGGGGGGTTGTTGCTAGATGGGACACCATGGCACTGTGATGGCTATTCATTCGGTAAGGGGAGACAAGCAAAGAGCAAGCGAGAGTGAAGAGGAATGGGGGGGTACGTAGATAAAAAGTGGGGAATCTAGGCGCAAAGTTTGCTTTGAAGGGTGTGTGCCTCTCTCACACCCTTTAAGACCCTTAATTACCCGCGCCTTCCACTTTTCTCCCCTCTTTCTCTGACTGCACCCCACTCCCCAATCCACAAACACTCATGAAGACACACAAAATAGCAATGACAATCATTCTCATCATCCTCTCTATCCCCTTGATTTCATTAGGCCACATGCTGAGGCTGTAAATTTACCATTAACAAGCTTATCCACTGTAGTCCTCTCAACAAAGCAAGACTGTGATGCCAATAACTTAAAGCGACACCAATACCCAAAACTGCCTTTTATTCCACCACTCTCCACTTTCAGCGCCTCCTCCCTCACCTCCGTTTTCTTCACCGCTGCGCTTCAAGCAGAACTGCAGCATTAAAAATGCCAGAGCTTGCATGACGCATGCTAATAGCTCAGGTGATGTTGATTAGCACTATTAGTGTTGATCTCTACCGATAATCTGAGCAACTATGTACGTTTCTTGATTCTAAACTTGGTCACCCTCTGTAATATTTTAAGTTGCTTGTCTGAGCTGCATGAAAATGAAACAAAAATGTGGATTTCATAGCTTTCTGAAGTCCGAGTCAGCCTAGCTTACGGTTTGTCACATGTTTCTTCTTTGTATTAGCAGCTTGCAGCGTACCAGGCTCCTGCTAAGGCCTTTTAACTTTAGTCTCAATCCTCTCAGCTGTTTTTTTTCTGAACCTCAGCCAGATCCAGGTCACACAATGAATAACCCAAAATAAGTGATTTTTTTTCCATGTTAAAAGAAAAGAAAAGTAATTTTTCAAATCTCAAAAATAGGAATTGATTGTAATGTATATAATAAACAATTGTTTTGACATTCACTATTGTTCATCTATGCTTTGACTACCTCAGATAAATCAAAGCTGCATCCTAATGTTACTTCTTCTCTTCACAGATAAACATTGGTGGTTGGGGGCTCCAAAATGAACAAAACACACAATGGAGAGACGGCTCGCTGCCGCACAGCTGCTGTAAACAAGGATGCTGCGTTCTCCAAACAACTTCACCGTTTGCGCGTCTGTGGCACATCGAGACCCACCTGGACTTTTTAGCTGCAAGAATATTATTGTGAACTGTTGCTTTTTGCAAAACAGAAAGAATATATAGAAATACAAATATATGTATATATAAATATATATGTGTGTATAATTTAGTAAATTTTATTTTTTTCATTCTCTGATTGAGTTTCATACTATTATCTTGTATAACACTGTAAATACAACAATTGAATAGAGCGGTATTATTTTTTTTTATAACATTTAGGCTCTCCCTGTTTAGGTTATTTTTTATTTGATTATAAGCCCTTGTTTATGTTCAGATTTCTATTTTGTTTTAGTTGCTAGGACTCAAAAGACACGTGAATGTGAGACCCACGACAGCAGTGAATAATACTGCACTGCGATTGGACAGCTCCGTGTGTCGGCTGACACAATGGCGAAGGAGAGAGCTGTCGTCTTTATACTCTATGCAACTGTTCTGTCTGTTTTGATTCTGTTTATGGCAGAGCCTCTTTTATCTATGTTTTGTATTTTTCGTTTATGGGCTAACAAACTACCGACATCCTTTTATACACTGTTAAGCCAATTTTGCTTCCTCCAGAACCCACATTTGTGTTCGAAATATACAAGAAAAAAATAGAGAAATAGAGGAAGGCTATCCGTATGTGTCTTAAGTGATTGCTAATTATATTTATAGCCCCCCCCACCCGTTCCTTAAATCCGAGTGTGAATAAATATGGACTCAAACATTCCTGATGGCAGTAGTGTGTTTGATCAGCAGGAATTAAAACAATGCTGCAGCATGCGTGCTTCCTCTGAGACACATTAACTTGCCTCATAACAGTTACCTGCTCTGCTGTAACAATACATCTTTAGGTAAGACACGACAAATACATAGACTTCAAACACTGCCTTAATTTCCTCTTCACACACAAATGCGCACACACACCCCCACACACACAAACGCACAAAGCCCCCGTGCAATAAGACAAGTACCATTATGGCTTAATTCATTTTACATTAATTTTAGGGAAGTGGATTTTTAATTTTTTTTATTATTATGATTGATAATCTATGCAAATCTTTTAAAGTATTACTTTAAACAATCTATGCACTGCTCCTCTGCTCTTGCGTTTGATTCAAAGGAGACTATCTTGGCCTAATTTAGACAATGTATTCTTTTGATAATCATGCACATCCTGGTGCTCGAGACAATTACTTATCTGCCTGGATAAGCTTGAAATTATGTTTTTAATCTTTTGCAAAAAAGTCTTTCTTCCGATATCAGTTGAGAGGCATGAAAACCGTGATTTCTGGTGTGAAATAATTAAATCAGTGTCAGAAAATATCCTCTTTTCCTTTAAATGTAGATTAAATATTTCTGTTTAGCTTTGTCTGCTTATAAGTTTTATATAAGGAATGATATTTGTATTATGCAACCTGTGATTGAGTGCTCACCACATGTGCCTTTTTATACAAATATGTATTAGAATAGTAATAAAGGTTTACATTGAAAACAGGAAAAACACTGCGTTGTGGTTGTTTTTGTCTATATGCCGTGGATATCAGTAACAGGCAGACCATTTAGAGAAAAAAGGTTGTGTGTTTTAGCAGCAGTTCGTTGTCATTAGATCTCGACTCATCACTGAGCTTGGTCAGGATGCTGCATTGAATGGATGCAAAATGCTGTTTCTTGCATGAAGATAGTATTTACTCTAAATAAGTAGCTGATTTTATTTTTTTTTTTTGCATCTTTTTCAAACTAAGCTGTTTTTGCCTCGGCATCGTGTTTCAGTCAAAGATAAATATCAATATCAAAAAATCCTCAGAGATTCATTTATTTTCAAAATGTGAGGGATTTAAATATTTTTGTTGTGATTAGCTTCCAGCTAACAGTTCGCTGGAAGATAGCAGAGATATGCCCCTTATTTAGCGTAGAAATTAATCAGTGCAAAGCTGCTCTCTGTAGTAGCCCGTGAGAATCCTGACCCCCTTGTTGTTATGTAAATGAATAATGAGCTCATATGCATCAGCACACAGGCTATTAACTTAGAGGAAGAATAAAGAACAGTAGCACTCATCCTTGATTGTAATGATGTGTGTGCAGCATGGCTGCCGTGCAGACCTCCATGTGTCATGCAAAAACACTTCTCCTGCATGGTTTTCTGTCTGACACCACATATGGTGAATGTGCCAGCATCAACATATGGTACCCTCACAATTCATTAACATTGTCATGTAAAAAAGGGTAATCCCACTGTAAAACAAATGAAAATGAACCCTGTTTACAGTGCTGCTCCTTTTATTCATTTCTCTCTCTTTTATGAAGTCTCTGCTAATTTAATCAACGAAGCTTTTAACGGAGCTCCGACACACCCTTCTGGGTGTCTGCATCCTTCGTTTGTAGCAGTGGTAGCTTTACAAGGCGCTCTCCATTTGTTTACAGCTACGCTGCACGTTCAAATGAGCTGTTGTACATATAAACACTAACCCCCCCCCCCGCGCAAATATTACAGTGCCCTTATTAACCAGGGCAAGATGCAATTACATTATGTTGCAGGCGTTAACATCCTGAAATTGGTGCTGGTCCTTGGTGACAACTCCACTCACCCTCAGTGTTTCTTGGCTGTATTGTGGCTCATAATCTGATTCACAGTTTTTGTCATGCTGCCAAGGCACAAGTCACATTAGCCAAGTGCTATAGGCCCTAATGAACTGAGTGCCAATGTTAAGCACACTTGAACAAGCCAGAGTGATGGGGTACAACTGGGCTGTCATTTGCAGCCATGTTATATCACCACCTAGCTGTCTTTGTATCTGGGTAAAAAGCAAAACCTATTTAATACTTTTAGCCTCAGACTTTTTGCATCCTTCAGTCTGTAAGTCCTGCTTTTAGAAAGAAGATGTCAAAGAGCCAAAGCATGACATGATACATAAAATGGCCGCCTGTGACAATAGATCATGGGACTGAAGATCTTGGTGCAAAGATAAGGCCGAGCGATGTTAATAAATGGCCACTATGTACTTTGATGTATGAACTAACAAGGCAAGGTGGCAGGGGGGCGTCTCAAGTGGGAAATGGAGGGTCCTGGTGCATGTCCAAGGTCTAAGATCTCGGGAGCTCCTCCTTTAACAAGATCTTTACAATTAACACGGGTATGCAGCAATGCTTCCTTATAGGAGGCAATTCTTTGTGATTTAGGAGGGAAATGTGTGCCGCCAGTCGCTATGACAGAGGACGTGTCTCCCGCTGGATCAGACAACTGCATTGGCAGCACTACACAAGAGTTGGCATCTATCCAGATATAGGCCATCTATGTTTGTAAGCTGCCTCATGGTTTCCACTCTATTCTGCTAGCAAAGAAGAATGGTCTCTGAAGACTTTAAGGACGTTATACTGCCAAAAACATAGAATAAATAAACAAACATATGTGTTTATTTGGAAAAGTAGGCTTGTATGTTGCAGATAGGTTAGCATTGGCTTCCAGGAATGTAATTCTTTCATTATCAACTCAGGGGAAAATGCATCTTACTTAGAAATGCAGTTAATTTGTTCTATTGTACTGCTTTGGTCATATAGTGCCACTTAACACTTTCATTTTAAATTATGTTAGCATCATATGATAAAAAAGAGTAACGTGGTATTAATGTTGTCATGTTGGTTTGTAGTTTTGTTTACCCAAATGCAAAATCCCCAGAACCTAATTTTAACATTTTAGTTAGAAAAGCAACAAGAATCTGGAAACGGAGAACTGCAGGAAGTCAGCTGAAGATTCTGGTTAGTCAGAGGGGAGAAAGCAGGAAGAGGTTGGTTGATCATTGGTTGATGACTGATATGCTTACTTAAGAGATGAATGGCAGGTAGCGTGGATAGAGAGATGATGCTTCATGTTATTATATACAAGCTAGTCATCTTGATTGAGAAATGTTCTCAGGTGTGCAGAAACACGGGTCGGCCCAGCCACTAGCAAAGATCTAGAGACCCTAACATTAATCTCCCTTCAACAACTGCCCTTCTTGTACCATAAGAGAAAGGATGAGAAGCCCAAAGGTCCTGAACATGGTCAAAGTCCAAACTAATAGAAAAGGGATACAAGACCGTTCCTCGGGTCCTTAACCCTCCCAATCGACCATCCTCAGAGAGGAACATAAAAAATCCTTCGCAGAGTTAAGCACAGTGTGACAATTAGGTGCATATTCGACCCAAGACAACTGAGTACTCCCAGATGATGGTTTAGACGAAAAAAAGTCAAAAAAAATACACAACCCAAAAACCAACAGTGCTTCCGCTCTGAGTTTTTCACCCGCGCTCCAAAACAACAATGGAGGGACCAACAGTTACTACAGTTAGAAACAGGAACTTAACTGACCCTTCATAGAAATTCAGATTCAATGTATTGGCAGAAATCTTATTGAAGACAACAAGAATGGGAGTGGTGCAGGAGCGGGAGTCATTCTGAATGGGAGTGGGATGGGAGTGGGAGTAATTTAACCAGGAGTGGGACGGGACAGGAGTGAAAATCCACTCCCATGTCAGTCTCTAGCAAGGACCCAGAGGCTCCAGATTCAGGGGCACACAACTCCGAGCCACAAGGAAGTAAACGGCAACATACCCATGATGAAGGAGAGGATGCAGACCAAGACTCAACTGGAAAAAAACAAAATAAAATAAAAAAGAAGAAAAATTATACATGCATTCACATTCACACACAAGTATTTATCCCCACTGAGGATTATATTTAATTGTATTATATAGGAAATTAAAGAATAGCCATGGTACACATTCAAGCATTCCCCATGCATATTCTACTCTCCCAGTTCAAAGTACCAGTTACCCAGTGGGGTAACCAGCCCTCGGCCCCCTTCATTTCAGGGTGTATATAAACGTACTTCTTTCGCTAATGGTCCTGGCTATAGCAACCACCTGACAATGTACCTAAACGACCCTGTTTGAACACAGAACCCGAGCCCTCACCAGTAACCCTCAGTGTCTGAAGGGGGGATCAAGAAGGACCATATGGTCCGGAAGGGCCATCCAACCACAGTCGCCAAAGGATGAAGAGAACACCAGTGATGAGAGAACATATACAGTACCCGGGGCAGTGCCAGTGCTTGCTGGCACTTGCTTACCAAATTCCATTACTGCTTGGTTGGGCATTGATTATTGATCAGAGCCTTTTCTAACTTTACAATGACCATTTTGCACCTTCTTATGAGTACATTTATCCACTGTGAGATCAATGAAGTCATTCAGTCAACCAATAGTTTTGATGCCCTTTCTGTATGCTGGTGAAGATCTATTTGGTGGAAATAGAAGCTACCAAATAGAAGCTGCCTAATATCAGTGAAGCAGAATCCACAGAAGTGTCCGCAACCTTCTGTTTGTGATGAAGCATTCAGAAGTGTGGCTCAACGTTAATTAAGGAAATGACCAGCCGGCCACGTGCGACACCGACGATGGGATTACAGTATATGATGCAAAGGGCAGCAGATGGCGGACACCACCGGAGTCATTAGAGCCTCGTCTTTGACCCACTGCACCGATGTTATAAGTTAGGCTTCCTTGGGGGAACTTGTTCATCCTTTAAATTCATAGTACACCTTCTGCAGGGAGAGCGGAGATGTGTTTGTACTTTTTCCCTCTTACTTTACATCTTATCAGATACTTTGTTTCATACATACGTGCTCTGGAAAAAACTGGAAAGTAGTTCACATAGATCTGCCGAGCTTATGAATAATTTTAGGCTTCATCTGTTGTTTATTTTAGTTCATTTGGAATCTGTTTCATATGACGAAGCCCACTAACTGAACAACTGAGTACGAAATTGCTTTGTTACTCTGTCCACAAAACTAAAAAATCACTACTTCCAGGTCTAGTTGAGTGGAACTAAGTTGCAGTAAAAGGCACTGAGGATATAAACTCTGTCAGGATGCCTTCTTGCTGTGCTGCTTTTTCCTCCAGCTCACACACTCATTATGTTATGTTATATTATATTCAAAGGTTTGATATTTGTGGTTAAAATTAACTATATGTTGATATATATTAACAGTCACAAAAAGCTACATGTTATGAGAAATACATTTAATTAAGAAGTTAAAACTTTTTCTTTTATCCAGACAAAAATCTGGTTAGGCAGCAAATTTAGAACCTGATTCCTTTTCATAAAAAAATCTGAATCAAAGGAAGGAATTGGAACTGGAATCGATCAAATTCCAACGATGCCCAACCCTGATTGTTGCTGCAGGTCAGTGAGGAATCTGGTGATTAACAGGTGGAGGGTGATTGAGCATCTGGTCATAGCTGGATCAAAGGTACTAAAGTTTAAGCTTAAGTCCACACAAAAAATCTGGCAAATATCCCTGGATAATCTAGGTGGTGCAGGATTAGCTGTAGTCTAAAAAATGATTGCATCTTCAAAAGGTAACCTCATACTGCTCCAAAGAGCAATGCAAAAATAGGGGCAAGTTGGTGAGCCCGGGGCAAAATATTCTCTGATGCTGGAGCTTTCTTTATAATTTGACAATT